GAGTAGATTTGATGGGGAAGAATGCTTTTTGGGATTGCATACAGCAGGGGTGTCCAATTTCAGGCCTCTAGTGCCTGTGCCCTGCAGGTTTTAGATCTCACCCTGGGTCAACACACCTGAATCAAATGATTAGTTCCTTAGCAGGCTTCTGGAGACGTAATTTATCCATTCAAATCAGCTGTGCTGGATCAAGGACACATCTAAGACCTGCAGGACACCGGCCCATACAGTGTAAAAGATGAAAAGTGTAATAGTGCATTAAACCTGTTTATCAGCCTCCATGGGGTTAAAGCCGTTGTTGCACACAGTCCTGAGCTCTGAAAATACTTTTCCTGATGACTTCATGGTCTTAATGTCTCAATTTGGTCACTACTGAATAAAACGTGTCAGTTCTTGTTCATTTTGATCATTCTGTGTCAGATTTATGCACTGTGCTCCAGACATTACTCAGTGTGTGCTTTCAGTCAGACCCAGCTCTTATTTCAAAATGACAATGTTAGAACAGCTGTCCCCCTGCTGGCTGTTTAGAGAATGTTGTGTTATGGACTTGGCTCTAGTTTTCAGACCACAAGGTTTGCTTGATACTGTCACACACAGTACTTATCACAGAGGTGCCAATGGAGGAGCATGCAGGTGGTGGGAGAAATGGTTATCATGTTGTTGTAGGTGCATTCAGACGATTGTTGAAGGTATCTAATTTTAGTTATTTGATTTATTTTTATTTATTTTTTAAGGTGCTGAGGACGGTGCAAACGGTAAGTATGAAGAGTATTACATGAGCTCTTGTAGTTTTCCTCATTGTGTTTCCTGAGTGTTGCGTTTCTTCCTTTCAGATGGTGACAGCCAGAATAATACAGCAGAAAGGAGTAGCTTCAGCCGAAGAGGAGGCCGTGGTGGGGGTGTGTGTGGGGGGGATATATGCTGTTGGTCATCTCAGTGGAATGTTTGGCATTTTTAATAAAGTTTCACAGATTATGAAAACTTCAAATTACAAATACTGAAAGAAAAACCCTCAACTAGCAGCGTGAACGAGGATTAACAAGCTGGTTCAGTCAGTAGAGCAGTGGTGATGCTGTGCCAGTGTGCATATTTATGCTGTAGTGAATAAATGGAATTGTAATATAACAGTTGTGTGTTATCAGGGCGTGGCAGAGGCTTCGGCAGAACGGATCACGGTGATTTCGACGGTAAAAACTGGAATATTGACGTGTACGTCCGTTTGGCTCTGAGCTGGAACGCGTCTGACTTGATGTTCTTATTTTTACAGCCAATGAAGAGAATGGTGACAATACAAACGGTAGTGTGAATATTCCCATTAAGACACAAAAGTAGACTGAAAGAAATGCTTGTTTACAGTGTTTACAGCATTTTCTGCTTTTCAGTGTCGAGAGGAAGAAGAGGGGGCAGAGGAGGAAGCTATAGGCAAGGTACGAGTCTGATTCCACTCGTGGTGGGGGGGTTTTCCACTGCGTGCAAATGCCACATTGACTTGTGCATGTTAGTGCTTTTTTACTACAAGCCTTAATCACACATGCATTCATGCATGTATTGTTTTTCCTATGGCCTAAGCACTGTGTAAACTAAATGTTCACACACTCGCACTCCAGTGGGTGCACGTCGGGGTGCACCTGGGTTGGAAAAGCTGAGGGTCGATTAGTAGCCCGCTGTGGCTCTGCAGACCTCCTGAGCCTCAACAAATGCAAAGAAATTTGATTGCAGTCAGTGTGGAGTTTGAGTAAGAATAGCAGTTAATTGACTTGTGTTTTAAAGGTGGCGAGCAGGGTGGCAGAGGTGGCTTTGGAGGAGGTGAGTGAACGAGCAGTTCTGATCATGTGCAAATCTGTCAGAGGTATCAGAGTAATTTGTGTTGTGCCGCAGGCTACCGTGGGAAAGATGAAGAGGTCTTTGCTCAAGGTTGTTTTTCATTATTGACCTCAATGATTCAGTGCACAGAAGTTTGAAAGATTTACTGATGTGGCTGGCATCTGTGTGTAACACAGGGCAACAGGATACACCTGCAGAGAAGACAGATGAGAGTGACAGTAGGTTAAACTTCATGTTCACAGATCTGCAGCGTGCCAGCTTTATCTTCCATTATGTGCAGCATTTCTGTTTCTCACTGCAGGACCCAGGGTTACCTACGTTCCCCCACCACCCTCTGAAGATGAGGAGTCCATTTTTTCCCACTATGAGTCCGGTGTCAACTTTGACAAGTA